GTCTCGCTCCCCTCCATCTTCCCTCCCCAGCCCCGTCCCCATCCATGCGCCTCCCGTCTCGCTCCCTCCATCTTCCCTCCCCAGCCCCGTCCCGATGCACCTTCCCCTCCCCAACCCCGTCCACCTCCACATCCATCCCTCCCTCTTTCCTTCCCAACCCCGTCTGAAGAGGTCATCTATGGCCTGGAGGGTGATGCACTATGGGCTTCCAGGCAAAGTACGCCTTGACATGAATCAGGCCCAGCAATCCTTCCGCAGGACAAGCTTTTCCTCGCTCTCCCGCGGCACTAGCGACTAAATAAACGAGAACCCAAGCATCGGAGATGCTTTTGGGAACAACATCTCCCGCGCATCTGCCACCCTCAGACAGCCCTCCCATCTGTCCCTGAACTCATGGCTGGGCACCAGCCGCCAGGTGCGACCGTGGCCACTGCCAGGGTGATTGCCGGGTTCATTGTTGCGCCCCGTTCCAGGTGTAGGGCATGGCCCCCTGGCACGGGGGGAGTTCAAGGAGAGCTGAAGAGCGCAGAGTTATCCGAGTTGCTCCAAACTGATGTTCAGAATGTTCAGACAGGTATCAAAAATGATCAGTTCTGTGTTCCCTCGTTGCCGAGATTCGTCTGAAGGCGGAGAGGTTTGGGAACAAAGCGTACAGGCTACATGTAGCTCTGCTAGCTCTGCTCGGTTGCTCGGGGATATTTTGGGGCGACACAAGTGACATCAATGCTTTGAAGCATTCGTAAGTGAGCGCCTCTGGTTTCAAGAAGACTGCCAAAAGAAAGGATCCATAAGGATCTCAGATTCATCTTGCAGGTGTTTTCTTGAGAAATGATGAATCCCTCGAAACTGATCGAGTTGATAGAACTGCATGGTAGAGTGGTGAGCGCCATCAGTACGGAGCGATTTTGCTTGAGGGAGGGTGGACTTCCAGGTCGGCATTTCTGCAACTGAACAGAAATGGACACAAAAGAGTACAAGAGGTTTTTGCCCTTTATAAAATGTACATTTCTCATTTCTGGGTCTCCATCTGTGTGCTGATGTCTGCATTCAAATGCAGAAAACAACTTGCAACTCCAAACTCGCCAACGGAGTTGACAACTTCAGCGGATCTTCCGCAGTCCCCCGTCGTCCCCGTCCCACTTTTTCGCACCCAAGACTTATTTTGGGCGTCCGGCGAAGCAACGACGGCTTTCCGTCAGGCAGCTTCACTTAAGCGCCCCAGCAGCGCAGTTTGCGCGATGGGCACAGCAAAGAGCCAAATCAAGAGGTGGCTCGTAAGAACAAAGAAGCCCGCGAACTCCTGCCGTCCCGAAAAGGCTGAATAGAATCTAGAATCACATAATATGGAATACAAGCAAAAACAAACAAAAAAAAACTGGATCCAAGGTGGAAACGAATTCACGAATCTCAAAATGACTCCCTCGGATGTTCGGACATCTCCCAGCCGGCCGGTGGTATTACAGCTACCTAAGGCTGACGGAGCTGGATGATGGACCAACCCGGCATCAAGATGGCAACCACTACCAAGACTAGTGCTTTTGCAGTGGCAGTAGCCAAGTTCAAGTGAATATATATATATATTGTAATATATATATATTATGTGTACAATATAATATATATAGTATAGTATAATATGATATGATATGATATATTATAATATAATAAAGGAAAATATAATGTGATATAATATAGTATAATATAACATAATATAGTATAATACAATATAGTATATAATGTATATAATAATATAAGTGATATGATATGATATGATATAAAAAAACATATGATATGATATGAAATGATATGATATGATATGAAGTGATGCTTCCTGATTTCTTGCTTCAAACGCAGTGGATCTTCTTTTAACAGTTACTGGCACTCCTCCATCCAAAACTCCGCCTTCTTCAATGCCAAGGCTGTCTGATTCGCCGAATTCCTTGGCTTCTTTGTTGGACGGTTTCCAGAAGTCAATACTCTCCTTGCGAACATCCCGCCAGAATCCCCCAGGGCCCCAGAGCCCTGTTCAGTGGATTTCAGTGTAAATCTTGCCCTTCATGTAAATCCTTCACCCATCTGGGTGCATTTTTTAGAGCCCTTCGTTCGGAGAAAAGCACCCAAACACAGCTAAACCCTAGACGCATTGCGAAAAAATGGTGACGCATAGCTTCACACTGGCTCGCGCTAAGCTTCACCAAGACATAAGGCCCAAAGGTCTCTACCGCCAAAACTTCATCGATGCGTCCGCTGGTGGTGCTGTTGTCCAAGTGAAACACACGGCCTCGGCGACCGAGACACACCTCCCGGCGTCTAGCGGCCCGAAGGGCGCGGCGTTGGGCGGAACACCGCCCGGCAAGCGCGGCCCAGGCTGTGGCATTGGATGGGTTGGCTCAAAGTCCAACAAAAAAGATGTTTAGGGAAGCAACTACCCAGTGCCAATCTGATGTGTTTGGGGAAGCAAGACATTTTTGGTCAGGCCAGGTCTCGGAAGGCAGCTGCAGTTGCCTCATACTCATCCATACAGCAGATTCCTTGGCATCCAAGAGTTGTGGCCGGTTGTGGCCCTCACTTTGGTGCACTTGTTGGGTCATTTTGGGGTACCTAAGAATCCAGCTGACATGAGAAAAGAAGCTCTAAAGAAAAAAACACGTTGTTTATATTTGTTTATGGTATTATGGACGCAATCTTTTTGCCTTTACCATTCAGGACTGAAACGACTCTTCAGTTGACATCGCGTTTGTTGTTGTGCAAAATCTGCTCAAGGATGCTCAAGGTCAGAAGAGCATCCGAGGCTTTTTGCAGTTGTGTACCTTGAGCGTCCGAGCCGCGAAAGGGGCTGGTAAGAACAAATGGGTTGCAAACGTTCGCAAACGCGAGCGGGAAAACTGGTCCAAATGAGCCTATTTGACCTCTAGGAGCAACCTTCCACGAGGAATCAAATGTGCAAAAGCACTTGCGCAACATGAACAAGGGTCAAATGTGTTCAACAATAAGTTATCAAAGTATTTTATCAATCCTTCACGAGCTCAAGGACCTCCGGAACCTTCTGCTTCGAATGGTGCGTCCAGTTGTCCAGGAAGAAAACATCAACGATGAACGATCCATGATGACCCATGTAAAGAACGGGCAGCGCTACTAGGAGCGATCGGACGCTACTAGGGGCTCCTGGCCTTACTACTAGGAGCAAGAACGTTATTAGGGGCTCCTGGCCGTACTACTAGTAGCATTCTTGCTATTAGTAACAAGGACGTTCCACAAAGACTGTCACCCAGCGCCCCACTGGAACCCGAGTCGGCTTGGAGTCGTCGGCTCCAGGTGGATGCTGAGGCACAGAGCTCCGGCAAAGAGAAATCCGAAGGTACAGAAGAGGCCGCCACCCACACAAGCACTGCGCAGAAGTCGCTCTTTGGAATCCAATTTGGGCCAAAGAATCTCAGCGGCATGCCAGGGTTAGTCGGTCCAATCCCTGCTGATCGGTAGCTGTCAATCTAAAATCGTTTGGGCAAAATGAACTGCAATCTTGAGGAGTATCACTTGAAAAGAAAACAAAGTTAAACTAAGGTCAGGCTCCATAGAGTTTGCCCTTTGAAATGTGCTCAAAGTACTCCAATTGAATGTTAGGATGCTGCAGTGGTGAATGGCCTAACGTTAATGGTGAACGGTGAAACCATGTGAAACCTATCGCCGGATGTGGTGCAACTGGAAACGCTAAGCTGAATGTATTGGAAGACCACCTGCAGTCCTGACATGACCAACGGTTTGGGCCCGGACCAACGGTTTGGGCCCGGGCCTGCATTGAGAGAGAAGATCCTCCCCGATCTTGCCAGGAAATAAGACTTTGGGACTCGGAAGTCTGCCAAGAAGCTCCAAAAAATCAGATCGAGGTCAGGCCCCCGGTCAGACCTCTAGAGCTGTACTTTTCTGCATGTGCCAGGGACCGCAGTCATGCAGCGTGGTTGGAACAGGGCGAGCACCTACACCGACTCGGGTGGTGGGGGGTGTTCAGCCAGGGAACTCGCAGGGTGATCGCCTCCAAGGCGTTGTAACCTCGGATGGAGAGGGAAAATGGGTGTGACACGTCAAGGAAAAGAGTGACCTTTGACGCCCTCACAGGCTTTAGGGGTAAATAAGGCATCAATGAGGCGTAGTAGAAAGTGTTTAGGGTCTTTACATATCTTTGTCAGGCCTTTCATGATCTTTACATATCTTTTATGTGCTTAAAGGCCCACGCAGCCCTTCCTTTTTCCGGCCCCCTGCCAAAGCGATCTCTCCCAGCTGCAGAAGACAGGATCCACAACCAGTTTGCAGAAGGGTTTGAAAGATCTTTGGAACTACGTTTGATCTGTCAGTTGGGTGAAGTTGGGTGAAAATGCCGAGCAAAGCCGAGCAAAGCCAAGCAAACGGCAACATCAGATGGACCCAACTTGGAGGGTTTGTGCGGCCTAGGGCCTAGTGGATGTTGTAACCTGTGCCTTCTTTCTCCGGGAATGTTCCTTTCTTGTATTTTCTTGTCCAGTTTTCTGGGCTGTTTAACTGAAACCAGTACATGGCTGACTACATGTCTATCACAAATACCTTGCACTCACTTGGCACTCTTTTGCGTCCAGTCACCCGAAGGTTTTG